GTTTCCGTTTTTTTGCCCTTTGGGGGTGCGGGGAAGAAAATTTGGGTTTTTTGTTTTTTTTTGGGGGGCCCCCCCCCCCCCCCCCCATGTAGAATCTGTTGCAGCAAACGTGGGAGCCGAAGCCCGCCGTACGGGTCATCCTTGGGTGCGTGGTTCTTAATCGGCTCGCCCCACTTCGCTTTGCTTGCTTGGCCGATGAAGGCTTCATGCTTCATGCCCGCTCTCGGCTTTGTTCGTTGGCAAGGGGTCTACGGCTCTTTAGTTCGACCCATCTATGATATTGACTGCGTGCCTCCTCTCCCGCCGCAACCCCGTCCTTCTCCCCGCTGTGCCCTCTCTGCCTCTCCCCCCCCCTCTCTCTCTCCCATGTACGGCGACCTCCAAAACATCGCCAAAAAATGGCTGCGGCGCATGTATGAAAATTGCCCCCAGATTTTTCCGCTGAGGTACCGCGGCAGAGGGGTGTCCCTGACGGTGTGCGTCAACCGCCTCACGAGCGGCTTGGTCGCGCTGGCGTTTCCCCTTCTGGAGAGGCGCTTCACGGCCGGCGGCACCTTCTTCCTCTTCAGCATCTTCTCTGTGGGCACCGTGTGGTTCTACTACGTGAGGAAGGGGGGCCGGGGGGGGGGGGGGGGGCAGGGCGGTGTAGGGGCGGATTGCGAAAGACGACACTTTTTTTTTTTTTGTCAAGGCCTGCATTGTTGTGTTTCCGTCATTGGTTCCTCCTTGGATGTGCGTACTTTTAAAACTACCCAATCGCTTCGTTTTTTTTTTGCCGTTGCAACCGCTTTCGTCGTGCGAAGCACCTTCTTACCGCACGGTCTTGCCTTTCTTTTCTGGCGAGCAACGACCGAGGAGGAAGTCTTGTGTCATGCATCCCTCCATTTTTGCTCGCGAAGGGATCAGCAAGGAATCCTCTATCCCTGGTCAACGTATCCCTGGTCAACAGAACAAAATAACCATGTTTTAGTTGTTAATAGTCCGAAGAGGTGCCCATGACATATTTCCTGCTGTGCACATTTTTTGGTCGGCGTTTTGTTGCTTTTTGCTCACTACACGGCATTTGCTTTTCAACTGACCTTTCGGTACAAGTGTTGCCGTTGTCTTCTACGCCCCTCCCGGGGGCGCATGTCGAATCGCTTATTAATACTCACGTCGACAACAGTTATTGAAAAATGCTAAATTCCCAGACACCCATATCGTCACCAGTGGTTGGTGTTTTCACACCACGCGCGAGGAAGTGTAGACAGCGAAGCCGGCGACTCCCGTCTCTTCGCCAGTACTGTAGGTTTGAAGACACTCACCACCTTGGTGTTCCCTTCCAGGAACCCCCGCAGCCCTCTTTCTTTTCTTTTTTTTCCCGCTCCTTCCTCTCTTGATGCAACGTGCCATGTGCGCTCTTCCCCTCTAAACGGACGTCCTTTGCTGACCCCCACAACCGTCCGTCGTGCGTTCCTGTTTTCTTTCACCCATATATGATCAAATCCGATTGGCTGTTCCATCTTCTAAATATATATATATATATATAGACCAAGATCCCGGAGACGAAGGACAGAACCCTGGAGGAAATTTCCGCGGGTGCCGCGAAGGAGACATCTGAGGGTGACACGGCGACCGCGCTCGGCCTCGCCCCCACCGCAGAGCCCGGGACTGTTGATTCTCTCTGACTCAGGCCCTTCTTTTTAGCTTATTACATTTTCGTCGTTCTTCTCTTGTTGTATGCTTCCTCGCGAGGCTTAGAATAGCAGTGGCGAGGGGACTTGCTCTTTCGATGCAAACCCCCCGGAGGAGGCCGGTATTTTTTTCTGGTGCCGCTAACGGGATTTTGTGTGTGTTTCTGGGTATATATGGCGTACTCGAAGAGTTTGACGAGTTTCGGGTGAAGGTAACGGCGGGGGAGACGCAGAGTGCGCGACGCCGACGCCGCTGTGTGAGGGGGGAGGGTGGGGAGAGGGACACACGCACGCGATAAGTTGCCGTGCCACCACACGCCTATGCAAAAGCCTCCTTGATTTCAGTTGAATGAAGTGGCTCTCCAAGTTATCGGTTCCAACCCGCTAGCAGCTGTGTACGGGAGAACATGTGCTACGTGCTGCGCGCTCTCTTGTGGTACATACGTTTGTTTGTGAGCTCTGCAACGTGGCGTCTTTTCGGCGGACTGCTTTGCAGAGGACAAACACGGTACGTACGCGAAGAAAGGGACGATTGCATCATCCATTTCTCCGCGTTCTCTACCGTTCCCACGAATTTCTCCCTATAGCGTGTAGTATTGTATTTTTTCGCGGCCTATGCTTTACGAAGTTTTTTTCCGGGGTTAGGAGAGGTCGTTAGATATTGTCTTAAGTGGGCGGACGGAAGGGAGAAGCTCGCGCTATATTGTGTACAAAAGGTTTATTGAGGTTTAGTGGCACTGCTGCTCATTTGCTGCTAATGGGGCGTGCTTGCTGCTGCGTTGTGCTGTCTGTATTTATTGAAAAGCGTTTCTTCGGATACTATACTGCTGCTGTGTGTTGCACTACTCCGTAGATGAGGTGTTTTGTTGGTTTTTCCGGGCGCTAAATGTAGCAGGTGATCAGAATGTCGAGCGACAAGAACGGTACTTTAATCTCCGTGCAGAAGTCTGCACGCGACGAGAAAGAAACAAAAAAAAAGAGCAGTGGCCAAAATCGGGTACACCCGGTCCAAACACGGCCATGATCGGGTACCCCTACAAGATGCTGCTGGGAGCGACCACATGCCACCATCTGATTGGCCGACGCCCGCCCCTACCCGACCTTGACCGCCGTTCCACCAGGTGCACCCAATCTTGGCTGCTCACCCCCCGGAGGAATACCCGGTTTTTCTTTCCCCAACCCGAAAATGGCTGGGCTGTTCGACCAAAACCCCATGCACACAAGTACACGTCAGCAACGCCCTGCCCTCGAATTTGGACCTTCTGACGGCCCGGCGGGCCGAGGCAGACCCCCCGCCGGCGGTGGAAGTCTCCCTTGGGGGAAACGGCTGGCGGTCTGTGCAAATAAATGATCGAGAAGAAGAAAGAGCTGGATGAATACCTCCCTCACGAGATGCGACAAACACGGGACTCATCTCAAGAAAAGACATATTTCTCGCATTCCCGCTACTTTCTCATTATTGGCAACAAACGAGGGCCAGTGTGCGTCCGACCCGTGGTTGTGTGCATGCATGGGTTTTGGTCGAACAGCCCAGCCATTTTCGGGTTGGGGAAAGAAAAACCGGGTACCTCTCCCGGGAGTGAGTAGCCAAGATCGCGTGCACCCGGTGGAACGGCGGTCAAGGTCGGATAGGGGCGGGCGTCGGCCAATCAGATGGTGGCATGCGGTCGCTCCCAGCAGCATCTTGTAGGGGTACCTGATTATCGCCGTGTTGGACCGGGTGTACTCGATTTTGGCCACTGCTAAAAAAAAAGGACGCAGCACTCCAAAAGAAAAAGTCAACCCTCCCTCGCCGGGAATTGAACCCGGGTCTCATCGGTGAAAGCGATATATCCTAACCATTGGACTACGAGGGAATTTCACAGCTGACGGATTTTCGTGGAAGAAAAAGTACATATAATCGGTTCACAGATAATAGGAGGAGTTGGGAATGTGTTTGTTGGAATAAAGTGCCAATTTGGTACGAATCAATGTGGTGGGTATGACAAACCCTACCCTTTTTATGCTATATATATGCGTATCAGGCCGTTGTTTGAAGGCACACCCGTCAGCTAGGCTGTTCGAGTGTGCAAGTCTACAACGGACTACAAGCAGTATATCTGCTGTGCGGCTGGCTGTACCTGGATTCGAATGATACTACTGCTGTTTACAATAATACTTACTTCTTCGTGTTTATGCACATCATCTATCCTTCCTTGTGCATTTTGTTCGAGAGCTAGCGCGCCATACAGATGATGAACAATTATCAATTCGTCAGCGCAAAACGAAACGGATGCAGTTGGGGCCCCGCGAATAAGAAACAAACGTCAATTTCGGGTCGAGGCTCACACAAAGTCTTACTTACTTCTGAATCAAACACAAGAATCAACGACTATTTTTCTTATATTGATTGCTGGCGGTCGGATCCTCATGTTCTTATTGTTAGTTACTAATAGGCTCTATCGTTTAGCTTCGTCTATCCGTATAATTCAGTTTGTTGCCGTTTCACCATCAACCATACCCATCCTCCGTGCACGCACGAACGCGTCTGTCTGTCTGTCTGTCTGTCTGTCTCAAAACCGACAACATCGCGTATAGTATAAGCAAGTGCGAAACATTAAAGAAATTGAAAAACACCTCCGGAGGTCTCGTCCAACTGGCGCTGCCAAGGTGCCGAGCGAGGTGTGCTGCCCCCCAATGCAACAACCGAAACAACACACACATTGATTGTTCGGAAGAAACAAACGCGAAAAGAAACCGAAGCTATTTGTCATGAGCGTGTGTTTTCTTTTTCGGATGTTTCTGATCTTTGCGTGAGTTTTGAGGTAGTAGGTAGGTCAGGTGGGTTTCTAGTCACTTTTTCTTACTTTTTATGAAAAGTTGAGCCTATTTTTTTTCTGAAGTCCATTTTTCTTACTGGCGGGCCTCAAAACTGCTGTATGCAATCAACGGACTTCTTCGTGTAGATACACTACACGTACGTACGTACGTACGTGATGATGAGGAACCGCGCGAGACGCTGCTTGTAAAAGAAGCGTTACGAATTGTTGTTGTGGTTTTCTTCACATTAAATTCGTGTCGTTGCTAATCCCAAAACCTGTAGCAAATAGTCGGTCCGTGGTCACAAAAAAAATGCTATGCATTGAGCTGATAGAGCCATCAGATGATCTAAAGAAAACGCACACTTATTACCACGAACGAGAAGAATTGAAGAGGAAAAATGCGTACGAATTGAGAAAAAAAGTAGAAACTCCCTCGCCGGGAATTGAACCCGGGTCTCATCGGTGAGAGCGATATATCCTAACCATTGGACTACGAAGGACATGCTCCATGCTAGTCATCTATGTTTTACACTTTTATAAAAACAACAACAAATAGCTCTTGTAATAAGATTGCGGTCCTCTTGTATTTCGAAGTTTTGCTGCTATATGGGCGACTTGTACGTCGTTGCTGCACGCCTCACCGCCCAACCCCAATTTGTTATTAATATTTTATTCCTAATATCTAACAAACCAGCAAGCTGTCAATAGACACTGCGCCGTGTCCCCTATGAAGGTTACATTTTACAATACACGACACAACGGAGGTATTCTCCCCGATATTTTGTCGTTGACCCAGTAGAGAACTACAGGGGATGTATTGTAAAATGTAAGTTACCTATACAGATGTTTTTGTACTTGGCACCAGCTGGCATCACTGGTATAAATCATCAGTGTATATATAGACTTAAAAAGACTCGAAATAAGTCCAGTACCCAGCCGGTTTTCCTCCACTCACTGAAAAGACTCCACCACCTCCCGTTCGACTGTGGGTATACCTCGAATGTGTAGTCTTTCTGTGTGTGTATTTATTATTCCTTAATTTGAGCAAAAAAAGTAGTTATGCTTGTAAGTGTGCACTGCCGCCCTCAGCGGTCTGTGGTGTTGAGACTGATGGGTACTATGTTATCCCACGAACAGCAGATGAAAAAGGACCATGTATTATATATATCCGTCACGCAAGCCCCTCAGGCAAGTGCCGGGAGCACACCGCCGTGTGCTCACCCGGGGGGGGCGCACTTGGACCCCAACCGCATACCAATATACGAATGTTTTTGGAGCATTTGCGCAAGTACAACCTCAAGCTCTCTACTTACAGAGCCGTGTATACATACCCATCACACCCATACTTCCCATACGCGTATCCCCCACAGAGGATGCACAGATCGGACTCATATCCAACTACCACAAACAATGCTCTCTGCTCGTCGCCGAAATGCATACGAGTGCTCTCATGACCACTCTGTGGTGCTGCTGTTCTGTTGTCGTGTACGGCTGAAGACGCCTTGCCGCATTTTCCCACTGACTGGAAGGACGACTTGACCTCAATCCACTCCTTCAATAATATTGTTGTCAAAAGGGAAGGCATGCGGTTGTAGGTTTTATCACCAATCAATGCTGGTGGTACAGGTACAACAAGTTTATGAACTTTTTCGCCTTTTCTCGGGCACAGCAAAGTAGCATCAGCTTTTTTATCACCAAAATACAGACTGGTGGTCTCGGGCACTCCGGCAGAAGGTTGTACTCTGCATTAACACGAGGAAACTGTACGGAAAAAACCTGCTCGTCTGTAGTCAAGGATTAGCGATGATTATCTCCCTTCCGTAGAAAAAAAAAGTGCTAATAGTAGTGCAACAACAAGCAGAACATCCCTCCGACTACATAGTCTATAGACTACATTAAAGACGAGGGTCTACCCCTCACGCCGTTCTTGGACACATACCATGTAAATACCTAAATTTATCACAGGCACGCCGTATGTACCACGACCCATGGTCGCTTCATCGGCCTGACACCGCGTTCGTGCGCAGCCGGGCGACGGGTGGGTGGGCGTGGTTGTGGTGACGGGTCACGGGCCGCTGAATGTGCCTAGAGCAGTAGAGCAAAGTACTGACCGGTGCACAAACCGGGGCCTTGACACGCCTCGCTTGTTGTCGCGATTGATCGCCGTTGGTGCACATGGTTTGTCGGCTAGGGATCACACGCAAACAACCACGACAAGAAAAAAACGTGTGAAAATGGTGCTGGTCCAGGCTACATTCATCGAGATAGACGGCGTGTGGTCTGACGTACGAAACATCCAACGACAATCACGTGCGACAACTTCAAGGGTAAGGAACAAAAAACTCGGTGCCGACTGATCGGCGGGAGAAATGCAGTCCGTCCTAATGTACCTAATACTTGTGTTCTCGTTAAGTTACTCTCTAAAACGACCAAAGCTTCAAAATTGTGGCCGGCCCCAAAAAATCACGCAGCTTCCCGATGCAACAACTTCTGCGCCTCGACATGGGCCTGGGCGACGTCTAAACACGCCATGGCATCGTGCAGCTCCGAGGGAAACCGAGCTATTTCCACGCCGCGGGCGTACCTGACCACAGAGGGGCACAAACCAGGCACGGTCGACCAGCAATTCACCAATGCAGTCAGCGCAAGGTCGTGAAGAAGGAATTTATGCCCCATCTCAAACGACGCCCGAGACATCCGCGGGCATGGAGTCTAGGCTATGTGTGTGGCACATGCTTGCTGGTGTGAAGTGAGAAACTAGGAGGGGCTGGTGTCCTACGCGGGGACATTTTACGAGAGGCGCCTCATGTACATATTAATAGTTCACGCTCCTGATAGTAAGTATTTAGGTTTGCGAAAACATGACGGCGTTTTGGAGGGGGGCCGGGTGACGTGGCTCTGCACGGCGTGCGAGGCCCACGGGTCCGTCCGCTCAATATGGTAGCCTGCAGTTAGACAGGTTTCTTTCTCCTCACATCGAAAGAGCCTCCGCGGGCGAACCCTCTTGCATGAGCAACTGGCCCAAGTCCAAGCTAGTTCCTGGGTAGGTCGGGTCTAGCTCGCTCGCTCTCTCCAAGTGCCTGGTGTAAAAGAGTACGAACAGACAACACCCAGCAGCACAAGGTTCGTGTCGAAAGGTGGGCAGTCAAGCCATCTCGACCCATCCAAGCAGAGGTGGCGCGCAACACACAATCGCCGAGAGTCCATGGGCAATGCAAATTCCACAACATGACAACAACAACCACCAATACTCGGCAATGACGCAAAAAATAACATTGGGCGTGACCATCCTGAAACGGCCTGTTGGACAGTAATTGGTCCGATTTGGGCGCAATACGATACAAGCAAGGTCCCCTTCATCACGGTTCGTTCTACGGCTGTGTCTGATCGGCCTATTCGAACCGGCACTCGCTGTGGCTTGAATCGTTTTCAGAACTGCTGAAGCTGGCCGAAAGCCGCCCCCGCACAATTCGATGATGCCAGAACAGTTGCACCACGTTGTAGCAGCAAGCGAAACGCGAGAACCTATTTCTACAAAGATATGCAAGAGGAACAAAATTTGACGGTGCAAAACTAAACACACACGGCATCAACATGGAGCGTATGAAGTACATGCGTCTACCGATCACAGACAAAATCTCGGAAGCGCAGCAACCTGTTGCTCCACAGACAAAGCCGACCCCGCACAATTGGTCGAATATCCCAGAACAGTTGCACCATGCACCACGTTGTAGCAGCAAGGGAAAAGCGAGAACATATTCCTACAAAGCTATGAAAGAGGAACAAACTTTTGACGGTGCCCAACAACACACACATTGGCATCAACATGGAACGAAGTATGAAACGCATACGCCTACCAATCACAGACAAATTCTCGGAAGCGCAGCAACCTGTTGCTGGACAGACAGCATGACCATCTAAAAAAAAATCATATCCTTGCTGCACGACGGCCACTACTTGCCTGCGGGCAGCCTTCGTGTCGTTCATGCCCAGGTACGCCCTCGCCGCGTTCACGTACGGAACCGGGCATTCGGGGTCCAGCGACGCCGCCGTTTGAAGGAACTCCAGCCCCTTCTTGAAGTCGCCCATGCTAATGAGAACCTACATAGAGATGATTTTTGCTGTGTTGTGTGAGTGGGGCAGCTGTCGACGAAAAACGTCGATTGAGAGAGAAAACTCTGTGTTCGCTGGACGTCTCGGATGTACAACTTCCCCCCCCCCCCCCCTGAAATGGGCGTTCGCAGTGCCGACACAGCCTGCGCATTGGGCGACCGGTCGCGTAGAGGGTGAGATGAAACTACCAAGTGTGGGTGGTGACCCACTTGGCGCAGACTGGCGAAGCACAGGACGACAAGGTCCGGGTGCATGCAGGGCTAAGCTGGCCGCTTTCTTTCTACGGCACCCAACCTTCTCTTTCCGACATCACGGAGCCCCCATCCCCCCAGGGTCCTTTCTCAAGGTCGTGGCTTGCTGCGCGCCATGTCTATTTCGGATATTCTGCGCCGGCTCTCTCTTTGGATAAAATGATACGAAATAATATAGTGTGGCGGGTATTAGAGCTTCGCCAGATTCCGGTCGACACGACATGAGCCGCACGGCTTTGCAGCTTTAAGCTCACACGAGCCAGCAAGTGTCGGCAAGTATATTTAGTCCTAACGCCTGGGTAGTCTGGAGCTGCACAGCGGCATCCAAGTACATCACCGGGATAGGATGGGATTACGCGGAATATCATCGTGATGTGGGGGTACGGGATAGGCCCTCATCCAATGTTGCTTACCGGTATCTGTGATATGTACATACACAACTTTTGGTTTGGGGTGTGCGCACTAGGGAGAACTTAGAGAACCAACAGTGTCAGCAGGCTTTTATATCGATATTCAACCATTGCGCGTAAAACCAGGCTCGCGTGAGCCACTTCCAGCGTTTGCCGTGCCTGATGCCGCCCTCAGCCAGCCATCCCGATCGTTGGTCAGAGAGAGGCAGCATGGTTGGGAACATGAATGCGGCGACAAAACCGTATTCTCAAGGGGTATTGTATCGCACCCCCCCCCCCCCCGTAGACCACTGACCAGCTTCTGGTTCATCCTCGTGAAACATGCATAGCCTGGGCCGGCGAAAACACGGCGCATCGCTCCGCCCCGGCATTGCCCGGATGCGAGGTATGTATGGCCTGCCGACTACGGCACGAGTGCACATGAAAACACTAACTCCCCCCCCCCACAACCAGGAGGGCGAAAAAAACAAAAAAAACGGCCGATGCGTGTCGGGGAAGCTTTCGACGAGACGAGACGAGACCGTTCCAAGACCACCTTTTTTCGGCGGTAGCGTAGTGTGTCCGTTGCGTCGTAGAGTGCTGTTAAAGCCCGCCTAGGGTAGGGGGCGTACTCGTGCTTTCGCGTCCCTTAGCCGTTAGGCCGTCAACCAAGCGGGGGTTGCCATCACAACGTATGTAAAGCACAATCTTGGGTATTGTACAACGCCAACAACAAGAAAGGGGTCATATGTACGTACGGTAGCGTACCTCGGCAAAGAAGAAGAGCACCTCCGGGTTCTCCGGAAAAAGCTCTCGAGATTCTTCCAGCACTTGCACGCATTTCGACAGGGATGACGGAGATGGCTTGTTCGAGCGCAAACAACAAAACAAAAAAACACGACAACAGACAAAAACCAAAAAATCGAGATGGGAACAAAAACGAAACGGTCGTTGTCGAGACGAGTTTGCCAAAACAAAAAGCGTGGATGCCACTTTGCCCGCACTTGGGAAGCTACGGCAGAGAGTGGGGGGCATCGCTGCATCTCTGCAGAACTTGAAAATATTTTCAACAATATAATATCTTTTGATATATGGTACCTAACAACGTATATATGGAGAAAGGCTTTCCGTGCGAAGGGTTGTGTTGGCCTTGTTACTGCTATCAGTAGCTTGCGGTTAATTGTGATATTTTTTATGCCGAAATAAACATCGTGCTCGTCTGCCAATTTTCCATCTGAACCTGTTTATTGTTACCCCGTCGCCGCTAAACGTTCGTTCACCAGTTCGGCCGCCGTAGCCAGCTTGAACAAGGCCACCCCCCACGCCGCCCGCGAGATCGGCATCGTCGGGCAAAGCTCCACGCTCCTCCTCAGGTCCGCGGTTGCCTTCCTGAAGTCGTTCGCCAGCAGGTGCCCCTGCCCGCTGCAAAAACCAAGACACGCGGGTTGCCATGTTCACTTACATGAATAAACAGAAAAATGGCACATGACTTTGGCAGCACCAAGAACAAATGGTTGGTAGTACATATATCGCACTTTTCACCTCCTCCCTAATCATGTGTGCTTGCTGTAGGAATTTGGTCGTGGGCAAGTCGCACAGGTGGATGAATTCCTCTCCGCGAGCCCTCCCCCTGCGACGTAATGCGCGCAATCTCGACGAGAAAGATCCCTAGGGGAGTCGGGAAAAAGGTGGGGTGTATAGTGCTAACCATGCACCTCCAACACAAACGTACGTGCTTTCTGAATGAAGTGAAAATTATGTGTTGGAACTATTTTTATCAGGGGAAGATCGTCTTGAAGTGGTCATCACATTTCCCCCTTGTTTTATTACAATAGCGTGTTGTTTTCACCTGTGCTTTGGTAGCAAAGGTCCCATTTTACGCGGCACTCCAAGCGCAAAGTTGTGTATCGTCCTTGCGTTCACCCGTTGCCCGCATCCTTCTCCCAGCCTAGCCCAATCCGCTCGAAACTACAGCAGTCCTACCGATTTGTTTATCGTTGTACTGTAACACCTTTTCCACAGCCCTTCGTTGCCATGACAGAGTGCATTGGGGAGCAACTTTCAGACATTAAGCGTACGCGTGAGGGACCGGCGAGACCTGCAGCAGTCCGTTGGACTCGCCTCTTTGAGGGGGGGTCCTGAGTCCTGAGGCTTTGAGGAGTAGGTTGGGATTCGATTCTATGTCCACTCCCAGCATCAAAGACACAATACTCCGGATATAACAAGGGCAATGAACTTTAACAAAATGTATGCATCAGCACATACCATAGGACTACTCATGCATCAGCCAGCACTTTCCCGCGTCACGAACGCCCCCCCCCCCCAAAAAAAAAAAACATACCCACCTACCATGGTACTCATGAATCAGCCAAAGATCTCCCGCGTCATAAACGTTCCCGTAAAAATAAAAAAACACCAACACTTCCAACACTTACCGGTGGAGGAAGAGGTCTGAATCTCGAGGGGCGATCGCCGCTGCTGCATCGAAGCACTCAAACGCCTGTACCAAGCAGAGATGGCACAGAGAACACCGACGATGTTTAGCACCACATCAACCGGTACCGGAAAAAAATGCGTATGAGATGAGGCTGGTGTTGCTGCTACACCCGAACGCCTATACTACGAGGAAGAGAGGACACAGCGAGCACAGAGGACATTTAGCGCGATATCAACCGATACTGTACCGGAAAAATGCAGATGAGATGAGGCTGCTGCTGTTGCTGTTGGTGCTGCTGCTGCAACGATGGAAACATGTTGCGACGTGTACGAACTACTGTACATGCACACAACCAAGACCGAAAGTCCTTGGACAACCCTCCGAATTGATTGTAGGTGGACTTCCTTAATCAAGTTTCTTCAACCAAGGGTAGCTATTGTAGCTACTTCTAAATGTAAACAACCAATCTTCACTTGCCTCTTCACGACGACCTAGATCGCTCAACACGCTCCCTCGCTTGACCCAGCTCTTCGCGTTCGTTTCGTCCACCTCACCCGCAAGTCTTCAAGACAAGTTCGGACAAGGCAACGGGCGTTATCGAGATCAGCAGTCACTCAGGACAGCAAATATCGTCACGACAACATCGACAGCAGTAGCCGGACCCAATAAATAAGTGATGCCAAGATGTTAGATTGGTGTCTGCCTGGATTCAAGAGGGGGCGCCCGAAAAATGAAAAACATGAAATACCCAACATCGGACCACTACAAAAAGCGCACCTGAGATGTTCCAGAGCCGTGTTCATATCCCCCATGAGGTACAAAAATGACCCACAGTACTCTAGTGCCAGAGATTGGATCCTGGTCGTGTCCCCCGCCCCCGTCCCCTCCCCCAGAACCGCAACAGGGGCAGAAGACGAAAAAGCAGAAACGGAAGAGGAAAACTTGGCGATGCTCTCCGCGTACTTCCCCTCCCGGACCAGGCTTAGCCCCTGCCAGAACTCTGTCACCGCTGCTGCCTGCCCTCCCTCATCTCCTTCCGCTGCCGCCGCTGCCGCCACGGGGTCTTCACCGTGTAGCCTAAACACGGCGTCGTGCTCCTCGTACAAGCCCTTTGTTGAAAAAGTGTTGCGCAATGTTTGTTTTCAGCACGGAACGCAAGCCGCGCGGAGGGGGGCATGGCGTTTCTCTTCTCTTTTGAGATTGGATAGAGCAGCCACTTGGGTTTCAGCACGTGCTATACACCACTTGAGAGCCTGGGAGATACAGAAAAATTCAGCAAAGTAATTGTTTGCCTCGGGCTCGACGTGTGGATCAGCGCGGTTTCCAATGCGTACAGTGAAGAACGCAACAGCAACAGCAGCAGCAGTAACAGCAGCAACAGCAGCAGCAGCAGCAACAGCAGCAGTAACAGCACAACAGCAGCAGCAGCAGCAGTAACAGCAACAACAACAACAACAACAACAACAACAACAACAACAATGACATTTAATATCAATATTAGCATCCACCATGTTCAGATGCAAATTATATACCTTAGTGTCGTAAGACGTCAGAAAGCTCCGCACGACCCAGTCAGCCGGCAGAGCATTGGGGGCCGCCCGCTGTGAAAACTCTTCCCTGGGTGGTCAAGACGCATGGGGGGGTTGTGATCGTACATGTCGTGGACTGGCGGGGGAATAAAAAGGAACGAGGCTCGCATGCAATATCCTCGGCAGTACGGCTTTCGAGGGCAAAAAAAAGGCTTTGACATATCTATAAAAACGCGAAACGTGATCCTCCGTACACATGCAGCGAGATCAACCGCGAGCGAGAAAGAGAGAAAGGTGCCCGATAGCTGACAGTTTTCGAAACACTCTGACAAAGAGGTAAGAAGCATTATCATGGCATACGTAGAAGGTAGAAGGCCTGCCTCTGCAACCAAAAACACCACCAGCGGTACCGACAAGCCAAGAGCGAAGAAACGAGCCGTCGAATTTTTGGGCCCTCTTCACTGCACTACAGTACGGAGAGTCGAGAAACACAACCCGAACTGTCCCGGAAAACGATCAAACACAAACACTCCCGCAAAACAAAAATCACGCCACACCCACCACCATCACGAGTCCCGAGACCGCAATTTGGCAGAAAAGGGCCGTACTCCAGCACACAAAACGGGATCATTCTCGGGGGAAATTTTCTTGGCCTGAAAGAGCCGAGTCTCCTTCGCCGTTCGTTGTGGCTCTAAGAACATGGCATGGCACTCTACTACAAGCACCCGGGTTGTTACAACTGCCGGAAACAAACTCCAACGTGTTGGGGGCGCTTTTGTTCCATCCTTTTCGGAAGAATACATCAACAACAATATTTGTTTTTGGCTCCAACGTGCACGCTACCATTGTGGAAAATAAAATGATGAACTCCTGTTAGATGCACCGCAAGACGCTGCGCAGGCACGGTGGATCCCTACAGGCGCTTCTTAAATCGCCACCGCCATTCGCGGAAGTGTCGTCCGCCCAGTTGTTGTCGAAAGACAAAAATACGGACAGACAGACAGACCGACAGACCGACCGGCAGACAGACGACCTTCAGCAGAGGGGAATTCTGAGCTGGCCGCTCGGACCAGCACCCCCCCCCCGCCACCCCTCCGGCAAGCCCCCCGGCCCATTACATAGCTCTCTCACCCTGCCCTCGCCCTGCAGCTCTCCCGCGAGACGTCTTCTATGGCCTGGGCTTCCGACCCGTCCCCGGCGTTGTTCAAGGCGTTCCCCTGGAGAACGAAGGCGTTCACCAGGTCTCTCAGCGCTCCCCCGTTGTCGCCCAGCTCTCGACGGCACTGTCCCCTGATCAAGAACGCCTCTCCGCAAGCGGGGTGTTCCGCCAGGGCTGCCTCCGCGTGGGCGATAGCGGCCTCCAAGTCTCCGCCGCGCATCTCACACTTGGCTAGGCCGGCTCGAAGCTCGGCTAGGTGCCTGGGGGAAGAGGTTGTGGCGGAGAGAGAGAGAGGAGGGAGAGAGGGAGAGAGAGAGAGAGAGAGAGAGAGAGAGAGAGAGAGAGAGAGAGAGAGAGAGAGAGGGCGAGGCAGAGAAAGGCCCGATTAATCTCGGTGTCGACGCACGCGATAGCACCTCCGTTTCGCTGCGAGACCCCCAACAACACTCGGTCACCTTGCCGCGAGACTTCTTCGCGCACGTCATTTGTGCGCCCAAAACCTTTCCAAGGTCCCACCACACACGGTTGAAACGGGTATCCATGTTTGCACCGGCGAGTACATTTTACCGTGCAACACATCAGACCTACACGCCGGAACGGATCTCCCCCGCCCGATCCTCCCAGGAAAAAACGTTGACGACATCAGTATCTCCTGCAACAGATGCGGCCCATGCATACCTACTGGGCCTCGGAAGGCGTTGTCCCTCCTCCAAGAATGCCTCCATAAGGATGTTCGCCTCTTTCAAAGACGCGGCTGCCTCCTTGTCTAGCCCCCTCTCCATGCTCTCGTCCGCGCGCACCCGGACCGCTTGAGACGTGAGGAGGAACTCGAGGCACGCCGCGGGCCTCTCACACAGACTCGTGTCGCCGTCGCCGTCTGCTGCCGTCGGAGACTCGGAACACGCGCCCGTAGCGCTGCTGCTGCTGCTGCCGCCGCCGCTGGCGGACTCTTTTTCTTTCCCCGCCCCCTTTTCTTCCCCGAGTCGCTCCTCCTCTATCGCCCGCACTAGCATGAACAGCTCGTGGTCCAAGAAGGGCACCGCCGCGAACTCGTCCAGCGCCGCCACGTCCGAACGACGACTTTTCAGCTCTTGTGACGAGCTGCTGCTGCCGCCAGCGCTGTCGCCGGGGGGTGCCGCCCCACTGTATCTCCCCGCAAACGCTTCCGTGAGGGCCTGGTTGAGGGAATGGAAGCGGCAGATCGATCAGCGCAAGCTATGCATCCCAAAATTCACCTGTGTAGGCACATTTAACAAGTAAAACGACGCAGAAAGTGTTCCAATTTTCACAATTTTTTCCTTCCAAGCTGCCGCATGGCCCACGGTAATTGTTACCGCCGTGAATACAAAAACAGGGACTGCTAGAGAGGGGACCTATCTAATTATGTTGCAACAGAGTGGGACCTAAAAACGAAACACAGCAAGAACCCGTCCGCTCGACGCACCTGGATGTGCGCCTGTTCGAGCTCATCGGAGAACACTTCAAGCTCCTCCCGACAGCCGCGCAACGCCGACAAGCAGGACGCCACCCTCTCGCGCTGCACCTTGTCGTGGTCTGTCTCCCCCTTGTCGGCGCGGCTGTCGCCGCCGCCGCCGCCGCCGCCGCCGCCTTCTGCCCGACCGGCGGTGCTGCACTTGTTATTCTCGCCGGCGCAAGAAGAGTCACCGTCCCCCGCCGGAGAGGAGGAGCACCGCCCTGCGTGCCCCGCGCGGCTTGGCTGCCGTGGCGTGCCGTCGCAAAGAGGTGCCCCTCCTCCTCTTCCCCCGCGACGACCCGCTTGCTGCGGCCCCGGCGTGTAGACCGCGCCCGCCCCTAGGAGGCTCGAACCGATCGTGGCCAGGTCGGCCGTCGAGGTGGGTGCTCGCGTCGGGAGCTCGAGGATGCGGGCGGGCGAGTAGATTTCCCGGAGGGAGTCGCCCATCCTGGCCAGGTAGGCCATCGCTTCTGGGTTCTGCTCTTCTTCCGTAAGCCTGAGGTCGCCGCCGCCGCCGCAGCAGCAGCAGCACAGCAAGCACGAAACAGACTTGACACGGGAGCAACTCGCCCCACACGCCCTTCGGGCGTCCAACGTTCGTTGCTAAGTACTTGGTACATGCTTACAGAAGTACAGCAGCAGCAGCGCCGGCCCGTTGTTGCGCCGCCGCAGCAGCACCAGCACAGAAAGCACAAAACGGACTTTACTGCTTACTGCTGTACTTGAAATATAAAAATGTGTTTCCCATCGATAATCCCACGGGATGCAGCTCTTGCCATCGCTAAGCTCAGCCCCCCCAGCCCTAATACCCTCTGTCAAGCATGCCACACACACAGGAAAAACTGTCTCACTTGTGCAGGGTGACCGCAACCTGGCTCTCGGTGACACCCCGCTCCTTATACGTGACATCTGATACGGCCTCCAATATAAACCTGAACCTCGGGCCGTACAGTCGGATGAACTCCTTCTCGCTGCCGAGGGCCTCGCGGAGGTGTCTGTGGTTGCACGGAAGGGAGGTTTGGGGGGGGGGGCGGAGATTGAACTGGACAGCCGGTTGCGAATCTGGCTTCTGCGGGGCGTGTGTAGAAGGAAGCCTGCAAGGCAACGGTCCTCCTGCATGGGCACGAGAGACTGCGCAGCCGCGTGGGTGGGTGCCGCGCCGGCAAGACACGAAAATCGCAGCAGTTAGTGGCAGCAAGCACAGCTAGACAGAGGGGGGCAACGGGGGCATTTTTCCAGACACAACAGCGAGGGTCGCAGCAAAAGCAGTCAGGACGAAGAGGCTCCGGCCCAGCCCTTTGTCGCCGAGGCGATCGATCTCACAGACAGACCTGGGCAGTCCAAAGGGAGCCAGCACGAGGAGGCTGTCTCGAAGCACTTCGTCGCACACGCTCAGGAAAGTGGCATGGTCAAGAGGCTCTACAACCTCGAAAAACACGCTGCACATCTCGACCAGGATCAGCGGCTGACTAATACAGGCGGCAGCTGCTGCTGCGGTAGCGGGCACCAGCACAAACAATCCTGAACGCCGCACCATCAACCAAAATCTCGAGATTCCGCCGCATTTTTTCCATCCTGGGGCAGGCGCCTGGTCGCTGCACCTTCTTCATAAAAACTTGGTGGCCGCAGCGGAGGAGCTGCGGCCTGGATCTGTTACGTATTTGAACGTTTGAACATTTGAACCGTTCTTTCGTGAAACCACGAGAGAGATCTTTTGTGACAAAGTGCTGCTGCTGTACATTAGTTCCCACACCGACCGCAGCGAAGCCGTTTTGGACGCCAACCAGTGCTTCACAGAAAATAATGAGAGGTACAGAAGTGTATTATGCATACAACTAAGATATTACACAACTCGGCCGCCATTCAAACACTGTGCTGTTTGTGATTGTATGCGCGCGACTTTAACTTCAATACGAAGAGAGAAATAAATGTGTCGACGTTTTCATCGAGACTTCCTTTTCTTCCGGTCAACACATTGACATGTCTTTTCTCAAACCTGGGTACAGCAGTAGTAGTAGCAGTTCATTGCACACATTTATTTGCTCCACGGAGAGAAATCGCCCTACCACTCATTTTGTAGCGCCCGAAACAAGAGACAGGTCGAATATGGTCGACCCTGAACAACCCTGATGAGGCGCCAAAATAATCCAGCCACAGCGAGCCCCTCTGTCGATGGATCTTAGACCCGATGACCCGATGATACTCTGCAAAGAAAGATACACAGGAACTGCTTTAGGCGTGCGTGTGATTTCATCGGGGTGTGATCAACTGTTGTTGACTCCTTTCTTCCTTGACGACTCTGTTCATTGCACCCCGGTGAGATAGATGCTCTGTCCGATGGGTGGGGTGCCAAACAGATGCTCTGTCCGATGGGTGGGGTGCCAAACCACAGATAGATCGATACCGGGACGGAGAAATAAACACATTATAAATTTACTAGTTGTAGTTTATAGACTATATAAACAAGTGCCGCTCTGAGGTTCGTTCTTGCTCCATTTCTTTTCTCCTGCAGTCTGCTACGTGTGCTGCCGATGCCCCGTAAAACCGCCCGTGTACGCTCAAGAGACACCGGCAGTATCTTGCTTACATGTACTTCAAATAGAATAACATACCCCGCACACGTTCGCAGGATCGATACCTAATAATACTATCGAATGAAACTAAAAATAAAAAATGAAGACAAAAGAGCGAGATGCCTGGAAGAGCGAACAGATTGTTGTGCTGTTCTCGACAGCTCGCTTCGTGTATTCGAGTGAACGGCTCTCTTTCGAGAGTTGTTGCCAACGCGTGCGCCAATCAATCTTGGCACAAGTATTAAAAGAAACCCTTGTTGTACTAGAGTAATCGTTTAACGTCGTCAACAGAAAAGAACCGCCACTCCTTGACTAAAAAACTTATTACTGCCAACGACAAAATCTTAGTCGTACAAGACGCTTTAAGAGACTCACAAAAAAACACATGCAAACCAAATATTTTTCCTAATAAAAGAGGGAAGATCGCACAACCAATGAAAGTGCCACCGCTAATTACTAAACTACAGGCAGTACAATGTCGTGTTTTGTGCCCCCTCCCGAAAAACGTCGAAACAAGAATGAAGAGAAAGCAGAAGGAAGTGTCATCCTGATACCGCGGCATAACAGGGGGGGGGGGGGGGCATGCTGCCCGCACCCAACCAACTGCGACTGCGTGACCGTCACCACAACAAACACGAACGTACAGCCCCGTCACAAAAGTCTACGGATCGGGCAACTACAGCACATGGATTTGCAACAACGGTGAAACCAACATCGATGCCTGCCTGTCTGCCTTCGGAAACACACGCCAAAACACCCATCATCAGCGGTGGGAATTATTTCAACCTGGGGGTGAATGAACCTTCCCCTTTGGCTCAAATCGATGCGAGCGGGTGGGTATAGGCCACAACAACCTTGCTCACATGACTACGGGCACGGGCATATACTTCCATCACAAAAACGCGCACGGAAGCACCCGTCCGCATGAAAAGCAACGGGGGCACCCACCAAAACCGCCGTACTTTCCCACACAACAAGCCACGAAATATGTCTCCCCATCCCCGCAGCTATCATACAACAGCTGTACCTCCGACCTTTTCCACCAAGACATCACCACCGTGATGGGTAGGAAGGAACAACGTCGAACCATTGCGACAACCTCCGTGCACGCACAAGAGTAGTAACTTCGTGACAACGCGCATGGAAACGCATTCGGTGTCAAGTCTATCAAGAGGTTCTTACAGAGGCAACAGCACCGCCCCCCCCCCCCCCAAAATTTAGGAATTTCCCCAAAACCCCCCCCCCCAACGCAAAAAATGGGCCCCGGGGGAGGGACACCCCTAAATACCAAAAGGAAAAATATTAAAAAAAAGTGGCACCCGGGAGCGATATCACTCCACTGGCCAAAAGGGGGGGTGAACCCAAAACCTTTCAAAAAGTTCCCTCCACACCCAACGGGAAACCCCCCTTAAATTTCCAAAAAAAATTTGTCTACTACTGGAACAATAAAAAGCATGGTGCCCCATGCCCCCTGGGAATGAAAACTTTTTCCTCTCCCCCACCCCAAACAGCCAAAAAACAACCCAAAAAACAACGGGAAAATCTGGTCTTACCCAGGATATGAAACTTGGTTGGGAAAAAAAACAGGGGATTTCACCCCAAACACTCCCCGTGGGGGTGGGCGCGCTCGCGCGCGCCGCAATCCCTCAATCGTTTTTTTTTTTTTTTTTGGCTTTTCGAACC